GACAGTTGATCACTATAAGTGGAAAAACAAAATAATTTATCATAAGTAGAAGGTAACTAGAACAAAATAAATAATAAATAGAAAATAAAATAATGTTATTAAATTATAGTTCTATGGAAGATTCTGGACCCAGGCCTATTATTTGTTGTTTTTTTTTAAATGTAGCTTGGTGAGTGTTAGAGGGATGTTAGCAATATTTTCTTCAAACTGAAACCTCCTTGTTGAGGCCATTAAACAAACTTAATAAGTGAAAAGAAGAATAGCTCTCTCATTGTATGACTATTTAACAAATATTTATTGAGTCAGTGCTACTTAAGATCATGTCCGCCAACACCTGCAAATGATCCATCTGCATCTGCTTCCTGTTTTAGATTTGATGTACTAGTTAAGAGGATGGACTGAGTGTTGGACAGACATATATTTAATTCCCGACTTCATTATTCAATGGCACTGCTACTTTGAAAAAGTAATTTTACCTTTAATGATGCTGTTTCTTTTTATTTAGAAAACATTTAACACATTTAATAAATATTGTTGGGATGATGGTAAAAACATGATAATGTGAATATTGATACATAAGACGTGATAAGGAAGGGGCTGCATGATACAAACATATGTATTTTATTGAGGCTAATCTACAGGTAGTGAAGCAAATACATTTAACTTAATTAGTTTTATTCATTTGAGCAATTGATCCATATTATTTCTTATAGCATCATAGTTCTTCTAATGATCTGTCTATGGCTTCTCACACTCTTTGGAAATTGTTTCTTATTATATACTGTGAATGTTCTTTAGACTCAATCTTTGAGAATTTTTTTCAGTTGTTAAACTATTTTTCAGAAGCCTATTCATTTTTAATTCTTTAGCAATGTTTTGTGAGATGAGTAAAAAAAAAGTACCTTCAAATTTGCCCTTCATCTGTTTACAGAAAATAAATCTCTACTTGATAATTGGCATGTCTTGTCACTTTAGATTCAGATTTAGGTTTAAAACCAACACATTCATCTTCTTACTGTTAATGATCTCACCATTCTTCCAGTTTATTATGAATATAGGAAATAAGTGCATATGTTTTGTAGTCAGACTACTCTGGAATCCTGGCTTTATCATTTCTCAATTTAATGAAAAATAACAAGATCACTTATATATAGCTCAAACTTCCTAATAATTCAAGAAAACTGAAGAGTAGATGAAAAAAGACTGTAACAAGATGTAGCTATTATTATTTTGAATTTTATTATTTAATTAGCCACTTTCAAGGGGAAAGTTAACATTAGTCGAAAAAAGAAGGCACACAAAGCATCTTTACATTTTCTTTTGTGTAGTTTCTTGTAAAAGATTAATTCTAAAATTAATTCAAATTAGTTCAATAAGAATTGAACAGTGTGCTCAAAAGTGTTACAATACCAAACAGCCAGGACAAATGCCAGTGGTTGAGTTCTTGGTAAGGTCTGAAGAGGAGGCTGCACGTTAGGCCAGACATTAATGGCAAGCTGTGAAGAGAAAAAAAAATGATTTGTAATACAACTACACTATAGTAATTCTGAAAGACAAAACTGCAGAACAAATTTTGCAGATTTCATTAACTACAAATATTCTAGCAAAAGTCTGCAAAAGTTTTTGGGGCCATCTTCCACTTCTCTTTAGAAACTGACCTTCCTGTTCAGTGAATTAGATCATGCTGTGAACACAAAACAGATTTGATCTCTATCCTAAGTAGTTGAAAGGGTTAAATTCATTGCCTTTAAGGAATAAAACAAAGTTCAGTCCTTGAAATGAATAACTAAAATGTATATAATGCGTAAAATGTACACATACTTGTAAAAAGGTATGTTGTAAAGTGAGTGATTATTATTTAATTAATTAATTAATTTATTTATTTGGTACCAGGGATCAAACTCAGGACCTTGCGCTTGTGAGGCAGGTGGCAGAACCAATGAGCTAAATCCCTGGCCCGATTTTTATGTAAATAAAAGTGAAAAAGGGAAACTGAAATGAATTCAGAAGATACATTAAATTGTGATGATTCATTTTATAAGAGTATGTGACTAGGTCCTTCAGGTAATTTAAAATGTACTATTAAAATTTTTTTATTTAAATACCTTTAAAGGAGTCCATCCAAAGTGGATATCTTTCAGAGTCTTTGCTAAGGTTTAAGTCTTGATTGCCAGCTTTTTTTCATATGGAATAGAACAGAATGGCAGGTTTTATATAAAATTTGACCCTATTGTTTGATCATGTTGCCTGAACACAGAGTAGACTCTCCATGCCATACTGTAACGGAGAGTATTAGTCTCTCTGGGGGTTGGGACTGTAATATATAAACTCAGGACCCATAGATATCTACTGCCATGGAAACTATGAAAAGAAGAAGGAATGAACAGGATGTGCAAGGGTATGGTAGAGATGTAGAGACATAATTTTGCCTGCGTCAGTCTAGTGATTTTCAGCTACTGAATCTAGTTCATCTTAGGTTTTGTGCTCTTGGGTTCTACAGAACTCCCTGTATTCTTAGATGTTCTATTTATTTTTGCTTAAGCCAGGTGTTATTGAAATCAGAGTTTATATGTCTAAAGTCTACTGAACTTCAATTTGATATAACAAAACAATATTAGTACCAATTTAGAAATGCTCTATGAACTACATAAGATATTTGGAGTAGTGACTAGTAAGAATGATTAGTGAAAAGGATATGTGAACTAACTAGGTTAAGTGAGTATCAAACTAAAGAAATTTAGTTTTGAATATATAAATATAACTCATGACATCCATATCAAATAACAGAAATACAGAATATATATCATGAAAAATGTTGTACTATATTAAATAAAACATTCTTAACAAGAATAGAGGGATCTTCAAATTGATACAACTGACAATCATATTACTTACAAATGTGAAATTAAGGTTTCATAGAATAAAATGTGACACATAAATGTACTCTGCCATGTTCTTAATGGTTTTATATTTTTATGCTAATTTTGAAAAATATATGTTTTGTATTAGAGTTCTTCAGAGAAACAGAACCAACAGGATATACAGGTATATATAAAAGGAGATGCGCTATGGGAATGATTACAGTGGCTAAGAAGGCCCATGATCTTCAAGGTGGAGACTCAGAAAGGCCAGTGATGTAATTCAGCCTAAGCCTAACGCTTAGAGAATCAGAAAGTCTGATGTCCATGGGCACAAGGACATGATGTCTCACTTCATGTGCTCCACCTCTTTGTTTCACCTCTCAACAAACTGAATAATATCCAGCCATTTTCTTTAGTTAATCTCTTGATTCAAATGCTGTGTCTTCCAGAAATACCTTCAGAGACACAACCAGAAATAATATTTTAAGCTAGTTGAGCTGATATACAAAATTAACCAGTGCACACTTAAGAAGGGAAATAAAATCATTTGTACCACCACGCAGAGATCTACACTAGTTTTATTTATGTACATAACCTTTCAGTCTTTTCTTTACTTATAACTCATTTTGCTGTACTTATGGCCAATTGTACTCATACATTGTTGTATTATTTAGTAACTGATAAAAGCCATATTTAATTTGCTAAAACAGTTTCGTCCCTATATGATTAAATACAATCGCTGTCAGTTTAAAGATTCAGATTATTTTATTCACTGCTATTTCCCCATGTTTAGAACCTAAATATATACATTTTTTTGGGGGTACTGGGAATTAAACTCAGGGCCTCACACAGGTGCTGTGCTGCTGAGATACATTCCTGGCTTCCCCCGACTTTTTTTTTTCCTTGATATTGGGAATCTAACTTGGGACCTTGTGCTTGCCAGGAAGACATGGTGCCATTGAGCTACATCTCTGGCCCAGTAAATACATTTTTATTAAAATGATACAATAAATAGATAGTAAATACAGTAGACAATAGCCTCATTCAAAGATATGCATAAAATACATAGCATACATCAAGTTAGTTAAAAAATTATCATTTTAGTAATGAATATATGAATTCACAGTATCATATGATCCTAGGTTTTTTTGGATATTGTCACAGCATTTACTACAATTGTAATTAATTAACTGACCGTGCAGAAGCATTTTAGTATTTTTGTCCTCAGACTGACTATAAACTCCAAAGGTTACAGCTATAATTGCTGGTCTCACCCACCACTGTGTAGTACCAGGGCCCATGACTGGCTCACAGTGCAGGCTCAATAGGACTGGTTTATTCATCCAGCTCCCTGGTCTTAAAACTTATTTGCTGAATTATATGTTAAAATAAAATATTTCATAAAAACTCAATGAATAAAAAAGAAGTGCTGGATTGCTCTGAGTGGCACTTAGGAGGCCAGAACTCAGCTTGCTAATCTTTTCCCTTGCCTCTTCTGTTGTTTTGGAGGCTCCTTGTACTGGCCTCCTAGAGTTCTGAGAAAAATCCCTTGAAAGTCACTGAACCAGTTTAACCACTTAGATTCCTTTTTATAAAGTTCATAGCAACTGAACCTTTAAATGATGCCTGAATACCTTCAACCTTGGGGAATTCACTCTGTTCTAAGATTGCCTGCTTTCTTGTTGGGCTGTCTCAAGATTGAGATTCATTATTACATAAACAAAAATTGTCTCTCCCTTAGGAGAGTCTCTTTCCTAGAACTGCACTCTTGGATTGACAAGCACAAGTTTCAATTTCCTTCCACATGAGTCTCAAATTTATGAAAGTACTATTAGAGTACCTTTTCCCTTCTTTTTACTTTATTTTTTCTTTTTGTTATATTGATTATATTAGCAACATAGCAATATACTGTACAAAATATTGTATAGTGTTATAAATGTAATACAAGCGTTGCAACTTGCTCTTCTGAAATATTTGAAATACAGCTCTGAAGTAAAATAATGATATAAAACATCCATATTTGTACTAGCCATGCAGCGATAGCTAATATATTGTCATAACACTTTCATGTTTTATTTAAAGAAATAAACTTTAAGGATAAAGCAAAACATCCTCTTGGGCAAATATGTTCAGATCCATTTCCCTTTGTCTCCACTTCCACAAAACCATACATTTGTGGTATATCCTTCAACTACATACATATGTATCTACACATCCAGACATATGAGGAAACATATTTGTGCTGCATGTCCAGTATTTAACTACTGCTGATATATTCTCCACAGATGGCTAGTGGGTATAATACTGAACTGTACACATGTACAGCCTTTCCATCACTGCAGAGAGTGTCATTCACGGAAAAAAAATGTGTATCATTCACAGGTTACTGTAATATTCTCTGGATAAACAAATGGTTTAAGGTTCAAAGATTTAACTTGCCTCAGAGTGTCTCACTTTTTATTGCAGTATTTCTATTTACCTATATTCTTCTGTTCTTTTCATTCTGAGAAACTTTTCCATCACTGAAATAAATGGTAGAGGCAAAACAGGTATGAATAGATGCTCAGTCTCTCTGTCTCTTGAATTTACACCATTCACTCCAAATGCATTCAATTCCTCCTCTTTGTTTTCTTTTAACTAGCAAAGCTCTTTTGTTATCCTTGGGATTTCTTTCAACTTCAGCTCATTGTACACTTCATATTTTCTGTAAATCAATGATTTACCTAATTAAAGATGGCTACTTGGCTGTTATAATTTTTCCACAACACTAACTTATCTAAACAGAACAATATGTCAATTTAAAATTTTTGATGTGAACTAGTATAATTCATATTTGTTTTTAGCTTCTTGAGCGACTTCAAACCTAGAGAAGTTTTTAAAAAGTGAGTATCAGAATTTGCAGTTGATGTATTTTTAAAATTTTTTGTCCTATTTTTTCTCATTCATATATATATATATATATATATATATATACATATATAAATGTATGTATATATTTGCATGTTTATATATTTATATATTATATATAATATATATATTCCCTCTTCTGGATCATTTGCAAATAAATTTTAGACACACCTCTTCATCCATAATGCTTTGATATAAATTTCCAAGAATAAGAAAAATATTATAATTCTAAAGGTAATAGCATTATCACACCATAATTTCCTTATAATACCCAGTGTCAAGTCCATATTCAAATTTCTGCAATTTGGTCATAAATAGATCTAGGAATTTTGCTTTCATGTTTCTTGTGCCTTTTAAAATAAAAGTATAGTTAGTCCATTTATTTATTCCACAAATATTTTACTGAGCACCTATCATTGTGCCATTTTAATAATTTTCTCCTAGGTACATTTTTTTTTAATTTGGAAGAGTCTTTTCTCTCCCTCCTCTCCTTTATATTTAATTGGCTCATTTCAATACTGCATGTCAGGTTATAAAATAGGCCACATTTTTGACTTAGCCTGTGTTTTTAATGTCTAACTTGTTCTGCTATCCCTGTGTCCTTTACATTTGTGTTTCTAGCTACACCCGAGTTTCTCGACCCTGTCACTATTGACATTTTGGGGTTGCAGAACTGTCCCAAGCATTTTAGGTTGTACCGCAGCTTCCCTGGCTTCTACCCATAAATACAATTAACATCTACCCGCTTCCGGTTGTGGCAAGCAAAAATGTCTCCAGACAGTGCTAGTCTACGGCCATACCATCCTGAACACACCCCATCTGATCGGATCTCCAGTCAGTGCTAGATGTGCCAGTGGGCTGAGGATCCTGCCTGTGGCTGCAAGTTACCGTAAGGAAGTTTGATTAAATTCATATTAAGTAACTTTGGCAAAAAATATTTCTTAAATGTTTATGTCTCACTGTACAACATGAGTAAGAACATGACATAAGATTGTCCTATTGTGAATCTAACTTTGAGGACTAAAGCAGGATTTTGTTTTTAATGTAAAGGTACATTTTTAGCTTTGTAATATTTTATGGCATGATTCTTTGAGACTATGTAAGCATCCTGCACTCCTTCAGTTTTTCACCCATAGGTCTTTGGTATCCTCTGGAGAACTTTGCCTAAATCAATTGATTGGAAAACTGATTTTTCTATTATTTGTTCAACATTTACAATGTGGTAATGTGTGTGAGGGGATGTTTAGTCTTTGTCTTGGTTTTGTGTTTGTCACTATGAACTCAGACACTAAAATTCAGTGCGTGGCTTCAATTATTGTCATTTTGTTTAATGCTTGCATAGATCTCCCGTAGAATGTCATTCCTTTAAGGGAATTTAGTGCTTTGTGGAGCACTTTGGGGAAGTTATTAGAACATACAATGCTGTTTTTATTGGATCAAATTGTATGTGAGAACAGATGTGCAAAGGGCTTCTTTATCCTGAGGAATTCTGGTGATTGGGACAATATGTCATCTTCACAGTTAACACATTACACTAATTTCAACATACAAATAATTGTAAAAGAACATTCTATTTAATCACCTACAAATATTAGCAAATTAATTTTTAAGTCATCTATACTTCTAAAACGGTATTTTTTTCTGGCTCCTCAATAAAATAAACTGTAAAATTCGGGGGGCGGGGAAGACGTTATGTCTGATTTTGAAAATGCTTGGAAACAAATTTCAGATCAGATGATCTAAAGAGACCATCGCGGTTGTAGACTATGACTAAGACTCAAGAGAATACCTCCGTTAAGATGAGAAAACTTTAACATGTGGAATTTTAACTCTACTTCAGTTAATTTCCCTTTCTTCCGTTAACAGCCAACTTCCTATTTCCAAGAAAGGCCCTGCTTACTTTGCAGCGTCTGCTTTAAATGAATTTGTGACGAGGGCTTCAGCCACTGCGAACTTAGTGACCGACTTCAAGTTCTAAACCGTGTGTTAGGCAAACTTACGTACTCGGGTCTTTTTCCTCCTGCGGGTAAAGACTGACAGGCCGGTTCAAACTTTCAAAGAGCTTCTTCTTCGTCCCACGTACACTTCGACTGCTCCTCTTTGATTGGCCAGTGTGAATCCTGGCCGCCCAATTGCGCTAGAACGTCCTCTGCGCGCTCGCTGACGTCCCTGCGCATGCCCACTAAAGACGCACGCGGCGCCTGGGGTGGGTCGCGGGACCTCGGCCTGATAGGGCCAGTGCCACTCTCCCCAAGGGACGGCAACAAGAAAAATTGACTCTGTTGACCGATTTCCACACCTTTCACAAGTGCAAGTGTTTCTCGGGTGATTTATTCACTTTCACTGTGGTGTCCCTCAGTGGGGACTCAAAGCCCCAGTTGCATTCATTCTTTCCTCTGAAGTCACAGCGGGCCATAAGGCGAGGCGAACGTCGCGAGTCTCGGGCAGAAAGTAACTTTTCTGCTGTGACGATGAGCTAGGCCCGGTCATCCTCGGCCTGTCGGCGCCGTCCCGCCCGCCCGCC